AATTGAACTCGCACTTTTTTTCAACATAAATGATTAGAAGCAGGAACCAGCAATTAGACGGTACTGTAGCAATTATGGATACAGTTAGAGGAAGGAAGCGGATAAAACGAGGAGATCATATCAATGGAATATATATTGAATATATGGTAGGATGATGGAAAAGCTCTTCCTCACTTTTTTAACCCCCCTCCCCAGTAAGTCTCAAAAACCATTCTATTAGGGTCAAAGTATAAAGTTAAGGTAGTTATGAAAATGTTTATTGATTTAATGTAGCGGTATAGCATCAAAGTCAGTCTTGTTTGAGGACTGAATGCGGACAAAATGTGGAAATAAGTGAGTTGTAGAGAGCATGTCTGTAGAAGCTGTTTAGTTTCAAGCTCTTACGCAGTTGTTATGAGTTATGCCTTGAAGTCCAAACATCAGCATTCGTCGCCCCTTATGACACAGACTTTTTAGTTCCCGCCCACCTCGATGGCATTAGGATCTTTTTAAACAGTGAGAGGGGTTTGGTGTTAAGGATGACTCACAAGCGCATTGCGATTGCTGTCGTACTGGTACGCGAATCGCGTTATTAACCTACTTATAGATTATTAACATTCAAATTACATGAACATTTGCCGCAGCGAATCAGTCGCATTACTCAATGAAAATAAATCCTAACAATGGTCAAGTTTGGTTAACCATTTCTGGTACTTGAGCAATTCTGTTGCAAGTAAGACGAAGTCATGTTAACCACGAAGTTTGGAGGAAGTTTTAATAGGATACAAGAGTAACTTTATTGTTTTGAACAACTTTTGATTGCGGATAACCCGCATTCGATTTTACTGTCATATTTTTCAAACTGCAAAAAGTCTCCAGCGGAAGCTATATTTGAAGGATTTTTTTGAACTGAGATTGATTCTGTGTTATAAACGACATCTAAATCATGTCGCACATTGATTTTGCCTGCTTCGCTTTTAGTGTTTTAAAGCACATTTCACCTCCACTATTTCTTATTTTGAGATTAAGGATAACACACCCAGGTTGGTCATGATTGCTGAAAAGTGTTTTCATCTGCTGAAATATGTAATGTTCTTGAAAATGTAAAATTAGTTTCTCGTACTAGTAAATCATTCGCGAGGTAGTTGTCGTAGATGCACGCTTCCTTAACTGCTTCTGAATTTCTGTTCTTACTTCTTTTCACCATCCGATATTACACATTTTATGGATCGTGCTACTGGATTAGATCTTGTTCATAGCAAATACGTCATCAAACATCCTTGAGATTTTTACTTTAAAAAAGTACACTATGACAACACTCGGATTGCGTTGCAATGAGTAAGCCGAATGACGCGAGTTTTGTTT